AGCAAACTAGCAGAATGGTACACACATTATGAAGTACGGACATGGAAGGACTTCGCAACGGAAGTTTTTGCGTGACAAGGTGGCATAACTTTAAATTGTAGCGTACCACAACAAAAAGGCTTGCAATCCAATGGAACGCGAAAAGCTGTCACAGACCAGATCGTAGAACATCGTGGTTAGACAAAACTTGGAGAATCTTCGTCTTACATGATCGTTGCGAGCCAGCCTTCAGACATCGTGACTGTTATTAAGCACGGCACATATCTAATTAAGTCACCAAATTATGCAGCAGCGTCAACGCCACTGCGTGCCATACATCAGCGTGAGTATCCCAGGATCCGTAAGAACAGGTAGGCATTCATTAAAGCAGTTTCAGCATTGTCAAGCCACTGCCACTGTCGCCGAAGACCCGATGTAAATTCGGGATGGGGGGGGGGGAGGGGGAGTGAGCATCCGGGGCACCGACCTCCGCCATAGCTGTGTTGAGTTCCTGCCGCTTTGTTGGAACCTCGTTCCCCGCACTTGTTTTCCGCCGTCCTCGTTATTCACATTCAAAGTGGACGGCATGCATTCCAAGCCGCGGCTAGTCATGGTGTCTCGAGGTCAAAAGGTCGTTTACTCCGGCCTGAGGCTGTACGGGTCAATGCATTGGCCTTACGTGCCTCGTATGAACTCACCGCAAACGTTCGGAACAGGTATTACTACATGATGGTTTAGTTAGCATGTGATGTTTCGAGTACATACACCCGTTGGGTACATTAGGGGGTGGGTTTGGGGGGTTTTACGACGCACTCAGCTGCAAAGGCTATAAGGCATCGCCTGTCTCCCATCCTGGCAGGAAAGATAGGCACCACGAGGAATCGACCCCCGCACCCGTGGTTTCCCAGACGCGTAGCTTAACCACTGCTCTACCTGCTCCCTACATCTAGGACATCTCAGTCTGTATATCCCATTTGGAAAACTTATGACAAATGCTTCGTCTCATTTCACAGCGCGCTGTATTGTGCAAATGCGCTCTTTATAAATGAATAAGTACGAATGCAGCGAAGGAAAGCTTACCAACAGTTGAGAGAGCTCATTCAACAAATGAGCATCCCATCTTCGTGACCACAGAGCGTCGCGTAAAATACATTTCCTAAAACATATGTGAGCTCCATTTCGCATGCTTTCCGAGAGGGAAATCTTCAGAAATGTCAAGCAATCGCCGAATATGCTAGTCTTACCTTAAAACTCCCGTCCTGATCATCCCAGCATTTAAGAGAAGTTCGACAACACCTCCAAGTACTGAAGAACATTAACGAGAACAACGACAAGAACGATGTTCAGAACAATTCCAAACCTATTCATAAGAAAAAGTTATTGGTCATTTGAAAGATCTTAATGTATTTAGCGCACTACTTCTCCGCTACTTAAGCGTACCACCTCTCAAGAAATGAACGGACGGGCTGGCCAATCAGGGACACAGGAACGCCACAAACAGAGAGGGGATCGACCCCAGCTCAGTGTCGAGCCTGCCCTTGCACCACCACAGGGTTAACGTCGAACATTTGTGAGACGCCGGCGGCGGATCGCCGATTTTCAGGCGTGTCCCGTCGCCCACCACTCTGTTGCCCCATCCTCCACACCATGGTAAGGCATCGGGAATGTGAGTGAATGCGTCACAGTAAAGTACCACCTATCGCTGCACTGAGACGCAAATAGAGGAAAGTTATTAGGACAGTTTAGTTAAGCCACTTTGATCAGCCTCGCAACAATAGGCCACTATGCGGCCGGGTAATCCAAACAGAGTCAGCCTCCGTATCAGCCTGCAATAACTGGTGCTGTATCAGTGCAATCTGAGACTCGTTCAACCGCTCTAACGGCACTGTGTAAGGCTCTAGCTCGGCTCGTTCTGGCTAGTCATCTGAACCTCTGGAGTGTTCAACCGAGGGGGTAGTAACTAAAATGATGCATCATTTATGAACATGCGTCTAGTAAGTCGGATGATGTGCTGTATTATTTCACGCATTAAACCACGTAAAAAGACAGCTGATATAGCCAGATACATAATCGGACGCGTGCATTAGCTACGCACCCTGATGCCAGAATAGCGTGTCATACACAATCTTACGCCAGCGGGAAATGGCTGCCCTCACATCCTGACCCACCGATGTGCTTCGGAGACCTCAATGTGAGCACACTCGAAGCACCTTGTGGTCCAAATTTGCACGAGTTCCTATCGTGTTTTAAACCTAACACCACATTCAAGGGTGGCCTGAGAGCTGCCTAGCTTTTCTGGACGATGACAGATTTAGGCTACTTCCATGGCCGTAAAATTAATTAAAGTGTCAGCGTTTCTGGTGTCGGGCGTTTGATCAATACTTAAAAATAGCCTGCAAGCTCATTAACTCCATCAATTGTAGGTACTCTTCTCAGGCCCTCAGTTCAGAGATCCAGTGGCCTTCGGTCGAACTGGACGCGAGGAATGTTTTGCACACTTTCAGAATTTCATTATCTCTCAGCTGAGGGGTTTTTGGTCGTCACAAAAAGCGAGATCGTCACGGCACAGCGCGACGCTCGGGGAGTGAAAACGACCCCACCACCCACCACAGACACCCGGGCAGGCACGTAACGCCGGCTGCCGTGATCGATCTCCTGCATAACTGGGCCAAAGCACTGTTGATATACGTCGCGTGGGCGCGCTTCGTTTGCCGAGCGCTCGGAAAGTGAGTGGACTGTTTTGGTCTCTGTGTATCATGCGGTGGAATTTCTTTTATAATTCGAGACAACTCTTGCATGAGAGGTAGGCGGGTCGCAGCATCACGAGTCGACAACATCCGTGTTTTTCTCCGCGGAAAATGCATAACACAGGCTTTACACTCTTATCTTTTATCTTTTAGCAGTCTTTTTTACTTAAACGAACTAAAAAAATAAAACTAGCAGTTTAGCAGATATCTTTTAGCCGTCTATCGTAAGACGCCACTATAAAGTTATCCCAGCCGGTGAATGATCCATCAGTTTAAAAGTCTGCTAT